ATAATAGTAGGGGACTTTAACACTCCACTTTCAGCAATGGAAAATCATCCAGACAGAAAATCAACACATAAATATCAAATTTAAACTACACTGTAGACAAAATAGATCTAATGGACATTTATAGAACATTTCACCCAATAGCTGCAGAATTCACATTTTTCTCGTCTGCACATGGAACATCCTCAAGGATAGATTGTATTTTAGGAAACAAAATGTCTTAACAAATTTAAAAAGATTGAAATTATATGAAGTATCTTCTGACCACAATGGTATAAAACTTGAAATCAATAACACAAGGTACTTCAGAAACTTCACAAATACATGAAAATTGAACATCATGCTCCCAAAGAACCAATGAGTCAATGAAAAATAATTTAAAAAGAAATTTTAAAATTTCTTGAGGCAAATAAAAATGGAACCACAACATACAAAAATCTATGAAATATAGCAAAAACAATTCTAAAAGGGAAGTTTATAGCAATGGATGCCTACATCAAAAATAGAAGAAAGATCTAAAATAGGTAACCTAACGTTTCGCCTCAAGGAGCTAGAAAAACAAGAACAAATTCAGCCCAAAATTAGTAGAAGGAAGGAAATAATAAAGACTTGGCAGAAATAAATGAAATAGAGACTAGAAAAACAATACAAAAGATCAATGAAATGAGTCAGTTTTTTTAAAAAGATAAACAAAATTGACAAACTAGTCAGACTAAATAAGAAAAAGGAGATAAAATTCAAATAATAAAATCAGAGATAAAAAGGGGGCATCACAGCTGACATCACAGATTATAAAGGATAAAGGATTATAAGAGACTATTGTGAACAATTATATGCAAAGAAATTGGTACCTTAGAAGAAATAGATAAATTCCTGCACACATATAACTTCAAGATTGAATTATGAAGAAATAAAAAATCTGAACAGACCAATAATAACTAAGGGAATTCAATCAGTAATAAAAAAGTCTTCCATCAAAAAGGAACCTAGGACCTGATAGCTTATTGCTGAATTCTACCAAACATTTAAAGAACTAATACCAATTACTCTCAAACGATTTCAAAGAAATTAAAAGAAGAAAACACTTCCATACTCATTCTAAGAGGCCAATATTACTTTGATGCCAAAACCAGACAAAAACACAACAAAAAGAACAGGCTGATATTTCTGATGGACATAGATGTGCAAATTCTCAACAAAATGCCAGCAAACCAAATTCAACAGAACATTTAAAAAATTCATTTACCATGATCAATGGGATTCATTTCAGGGATGAAAGAATGGTTCAACATGCAAATCAATAGACATGATACATCACATTAACAAAATCAAGAATAAAAATCACATGCTCAACACGTGCACAAAAAGCATTTGACAAAATTCAACATCCATTTATGCTAAAAACTCTCAGAAAATTAGGTGTAGAAGAGATGTACCTCAACATAATAAAGGTCATATATGACAAGTCTATAGCTAATATCATACTGAATGGGGAAAAGTTGAAAGCATTTCTCTAAAATCTAGAAAAGACAAAGATGTCCACTTTGGCCACTACTATTTAACATAATAATGGAAGTCCTACCCAAAGTATTAGGCAAGAGAAAGAAAGAAAGGACATCCAAATTGAGAAGGAAGAAGTTAAATTGTCCCTGTTGGCAGATGACAGAATCTTATACGTAGAAAACTCTAAAGACTTCACCAACAAAATTTCATCTAATAAGTGATAAAGCTCTATGTCACTGATTTGGGCATCAACTTCACCAATGAAGTTGCTGGATAATAGATAGATAGATAGATAGATAGATAGATAGATAGATAGATAGACAAAACATATAAATCAGTAGTGTTTCTATATACTAATAGTGAACTACCTGCAAAAGAAATCAAGAAAACAATCCCATTCACAATAGTTATAAAATAATAAAATACTTAGGAATAAATTTAACCAAGGAGATGAAATATCTTCATAGCGAAAACTATAAAACATTAATGAAGAAATTAAAGAAGATGCAAATAAATTGAAAGATATAACATGTTCACGGATTGGAAGAATAAATATTGTTAAAATGTCAATACTACCCAGAATCATCTACAGATTCAATGCAATCTCTATCAAAATACCAATGACATTGTTTTCAGAAATAGAAAAAGCAATCCTAAAATTTGTATGGAACAAACAAACAAACAAATAAAAAACCCTGAATAGCCAAACAACCTTGAAGAAAAGAAAAGCTGGAGATATTACACTACCTGACTTCAAAACTCTAATAATCTACAAACCTGTAATAGTCAAAACAGCATGGTACAGGCATAAAAACAGACAGACCAATGGAACAGAATAGAGAGCCCAGAAATAAGTCCACACATTTATAGCTCACTGATTTTCAACAAAGGTGTTAAGAATGCATAATGTGGAAAGGACAGTGACATCACTAAATAGTGTTAGGAAAACTGGATATCCACTTACAGAAGAACGAAATTAGATTCTTATCTCTCACCATAGACAAAAATCAACTCCAAATGGATGAAAGACTTAAATGTATGACCCTGAACTGAAACTACTAGGAGAAAACATGGGGGAGAGCTCTATGTCACTGATTTTGGCAGTGATTTTTTGGCTAGGACCTCAAAAGCAAAAGCAATAAAAGCAAAAATAGACAAACGGGATTACACACAACCAAAAGGCTTCAGCATAGTAAAAGAAATAATCAACAGAGTGAAGAGACAACCTACAAAATAGGAAAAAGTACTTGCAGTCAATAAATCTGAGAAAAATTAACATCCAAAATACATAAAAACTCAAACAATACTAAGAAAACAACCCTGTTAACAATGGTCTAATTCTCAAAAGAAGACATGCAAGTGGCCAACAAGTATATTAAAAAATGCCCAACATCACTAATCATCAGAAAAATGCAAATCAAACCACAAGGAAATATTACCCCATACCTGTGAGAATGACTATAATCAAAAAGACCAAAGAGAACTAGTATTGTCAAAGATGTGTAGAAAAGAGAATCTTCATGTGCTGTTGGTGGGACTGTAAATTAGAACAGCTATTATGGAAAACAGTATGAAGGCTCTTAAAATATAAAAAATGGAACTACCATATGGTTCAGCCATCCCACTACTGGACATGTATCCAGAGGAAATTAAAGCAGCATGTTAAAGAGACATCTGCAGTCCCACATTTATTGCAGCACTATTCACAATAGCCAAGACAGCATCAACGTAGATGTTCATCAAAAAATTAATGGATAAACACAATGCAGTATATATACATGATGGAATGCTATTCAGCCATAAAAATAATGAAATCCTATCATTTACAACAACATGGGTTAGCCTGAAGGATATTATGTTAAATGAAATGAGGTAGGCACAGGAAGACAAGTACTGCACTCTCTCACTCATGTGGAATCTAAAAACGTTGATTTCATAGAAGGACAGGGCAGAATGGTGGTTACAAGAAGCTTGGGTAATAGTGGGGAAGGAGGAATGAGGAAAATGTTGCTCAATGGGTATATAATTACAGTTAGATACGGGGGGGGGGGGTGTCCAGAATAGACAAATATAGAGAGACAGAAAGTAGACAATGATTGCATGTGGCCACTGGATAGAGCAGTGAGTATAGGTGAGGGAGTTGGAAAAAAAATTGGGGATGCCTGCTAGTGGGTATGGAGTTATTTCTTGGTGATGAAAACTTTCCAGAAATGATTGTGGTAATAGTTGCACCACTCGGTGATTGTAATTAAAAACCACTGGATTGTATAGCTTAAATGGTGAATTGTGTTATATGTGAATAATATTTCACATATTTTTTTAATAAAAGGTACTGTAGCATATTTGTATACTTATGAGAATAATTTAGATCGAAGAAACATATTGATGATGGAGCAAAGTTTTTGAGAAAGTAAGAGGGTCTTGGGCCCAATGCACAAGTGGAGAGTCTTGTCATCAACAGGATGAGGGGCAATATATTCGTGGTAGGGGAAGAGAAGGCAGTGTATGTGAATGCAGAGGTGAGTAGGTTGACAGCGACAGAAAGATGAGAGAGTTTTCTTTTGACTGCTTTTATTTTCTCAATGAAATATGAAGCAAGATTATACAATGAGAGTGAACAGAGAAGTTTGAGGTGACAGGATAAGGTATGCAATAGTGATCATGGAGCAGCATGGATTATGAACATGTAGGATAATTGCCTGGCATTGCTGCTGGCTACCTGAGATTCAGGGGTCCTACACTTAAAAGGGGATAAGTCAGCAGGGTTGTGTGTTTCAAAAGAAAATCCCATTCAGCTGTTTATGCCTGGGACTGAAGCATGCATAAAGGCGTGTAAACCTGAGAGTGCTATGGGGGAAAAGAGATGAAGGTGTACTCGAGGGAGTGTTGTGTGGTGAGCTGCAGAATCTGAGCTGAGTACCATGAGAAGTGAGCACATGAAGTGTAGTCACTGATAATGGAAAAGTAGTCCTGGGGTAATTGTTGGAAATAGAGTGCGGGAGAAAGTGAGCTAGAAACACAACTTACCGGGGGCGGCAGGGGATGTATACTGAAAACAAAGGATCATAGGATGATAAGTTCTAAGGTTTGACTGTGAGAATGGGGAGTCAGAGAGGGATAAAAGGAAATAATGTTGGTAGTAAGAAGGGCAAGGAATTCAGAGGTCAATTTATTATGTAGGTTTTTTTTTTTTTTTTTTTTTTTTTTGGCAGCTGTTGAAAACACTAAGAACAAAGACAATTATTGATGGACAGGAAGACAGACAGGGAACACTTCCTATGACATAAAAACTGAAATGATAGTTTTTTTTTGAAAATTCTGGCTTTTTGAAGTATCTACAACTTTTTGCCTGACTCTGAGCCCTCAATGGAAGTGGAGATCTGAGCATCCCTGAGCATTACCTGACAGAACCTTAATCCTAAGAAGTCCTTACAGCCCTTCAGGAAACAGAGCCCAAGCGTGAATGCATCCCATACCCTGCTCTGAGTCATCCAACTCACCACAGATCAACAGCAACAGCAACAGCCTCGGCAGCATGAAGACCAGGTCAGGGATGGTACCTAGAGATGCCTCTCGTCAAAAAAACAATGCACCTGAGAGTCGAGCAGCAGCAGCTCATCAGAGGTTTGAGGAAGTTGAGATCAGAAGTTACCCTTCAGCAGAAGTAGAAGGAAGAAGAGCCCTCCAATGACCAGTCTCCATTTCCTCTTCTATGAAGGCTGAGAAAATTAAAGATGCTCCTTTTTAAATACAGTTTGATTCAATTCCACAAGTTGCAGATAATAGTACACATCAATATTTGAGGGACTTTTTCAAGAATTCGGATATTTCAAAGGAAGTTTTCTAAAGGCAGGTTCCTACTTTGATGAGTCTCATCAGGTTATGGTCCTGCTGAATTTCATCTTTGATACATCTACAACACTTTTCACCTTTGATAGGGATGTCTCCTGGATTGTTTCTAATCAGCACATTCTTCTTGTCCAGCAATATGGTCCCACTACGCCAACTTTCTCTAGTATAGTCATATTATGCAAACACGTCATTAAGCCAGGGACTGATGGGGCTGTCACCCAGGCTGTGTGTAGTGTCTGATCCTTGCTGCATATGATGACTTGTGTACAGGGTCAACCTATTCATACAGATATACGCTTTGATATTTAAACTTTCAGTGTACCAGTAAATGAGCATGAAGTCACTGAAAAATAAAATCATGGCAAATTACAATCTGGGGGATGTTTGAAAATGAAACACAGAAAATAAACATATGCAAATTAGCTTCAGGGCACTTGAGAAGGGTTCACCGTTAGTACTAACTCTGGGATTTGTAAAATTGCCCCTCTTTTCCCTCAAAATCAGGGTACTACCTGTAATCTCTCCCATTGCTACCTTTAGCACATTAAGACTACCAGTTCTAGGCAAGTGAAGCCTAGATTAGGGATTGGAGGAGAATAAACTATCTTAATTTTCAACAGTTCTTAAATCCGTGAGTGTCTAGGATTAAGAATAACTAGAACAAGTGGAAAGTAACCTATTAGGGGAAAGATGCTATCAGGCAATGATGTCTAAGTCCAGGTACACAGTTCAACGAGTATGACTGAGAAAAGAAACTAGTCAGTGATACGCAAAACTAGAGGGAAAAGGGAGCAATGCTGGTAACCAGGCTAACAGCGAAAGTGCTAAAAACAAATAGGTATCCCATAGATTTATTTATTGGTTTGGGAAAGCCTGTGTGGGGATACGCTTGCTTAGTGTAAAGTTTCAGGATCAATGCAAAAAATTCTCCTGAAAGAGAACGTAGAGCCCTCTAAATCCAGGGTGTAAAGTTGTTTTTGCATACACCGTGCTGTTTCATCTCTCTCTTTTTCTTTTAATCTGTTGGGTTTTTAATGTTTTAATTGATACATTGTAATTGTACATATTTATGGGGCACAATTTGACGCTGCAGTATAATACATATATATGTTGCACAGTGATGATCAAATCAGGGTGGTTGGCATATCCATTGTCTTGTGCAGTTTTCATTTCTATGTGGTGAAAACATTCAAAGCCTCTTTCCTAGCTATTTTGTAATATATAATAGCTTACTATTAACCATAGTCACCCTACTGTGCAATAAAACACCAAACCTTATTCCTCCTATCAAATTGTCACCTTGTACGTACCCGTTGACCAATCTTTCTCTCTCTTCCCTCCCCATTCCCTCTTCAGTGTCTGATAAATGTTATTCTATGCTATACTTCCATAATATCAACTTCTTATTTTTTTCAGATTCCACATGTAAGTAAGGTCATGTGGTATTTGTCTTTCTGTGTCTGGCTTTGTTCACTTAATATGATGTCCTACAGATTCATTCATGTTGTCACAAATGACAGGATTTCATTTTGTATGGCTGAATGGTATTCCGTTGCATATACACACACCACATTTTCTTTATGGATTCATCTGTTGTTGGGGCCTTAGGTTGATTCACATCACATCTCTTCCTGTGTGTCCTGCTCCAGTGCCTTCACAAGCTGTTCAGATTAAAATGTGTTTCCTCCTCCACAGATGTAAAGGCTGTAACATTATTTGTTAAGCTCTCTCACACTTCTGTCTTTATAATGTGATAGTTCATGCATGCACACAAAAAAGTAACATGAATATAAATTGTGAAATACTATGATGAAATGGAAAACCATGAGCCTATCCCCAGACTGTTTAAGAACCTGAACATAACTAATATGATAGTATTGCATCTACTTGAGTGTGCCTTTTCTAATCCACTCCTTGTGTACTCTCCAGAAGTAACTACCACTCTCAATATTTTGTTTATAGTTCTCTTTCTTAAAAATCAGCTTATTGAATTATAATTAATACACATGGAAATGAACCCATCATAAGTATATAATTCAATGATTTTTGACAAACATACACACTGATGTAAATGCAATCACTGTTATGATCTAGAACATTTCCATCATCTCAACAGGTTTTCTTGTGTGCCTTCCCAGTCACCCCAAACCTCCCAGAACTAGGTAACTCTCCATCTGCTTTCTATAGATTTGATTTGCCTTTCCTAGAATTTCCTATGAATTGAAACATATGATATTTACTCTTTTGTTTCTAAGTTCTTTCCTTTGGCATAATATTTTTGAGATTCATCCATGTAGTATGAATAAAGCTGCTATAAACACTCATGTACAAAATTTTGGGTAAATATTCCAGTGTGGAATTATTGAGTGAGAATATGCTTATCTTTTCAATAAACTTAAATTACTTCCCTACGTGATTTTTGCTATTTTACATTCCCACCAGCAGTCTGAATTCCAGTTTCTCCATATCCTCTCCAACTTCTTTTTTTAAGCCAATTCAATGCATGTGTAGAGATATCTTATGAGTTTAATTTGCATCTTTTGGTGGCCAATGAAGCTAAACATTTCTCATATGTTTATTAGCCCTTTGTATATTTTCTTCCTTGAAATGTCTCTTCATATTATTCTCCTATTTATTCATAAAGCTGCTTGTCCAATTTTTGTCAAAAAACGAAAACAGAAAAGAGATCAGAATTATCTAATTTTGGTAAAGCCCAATTAATCATTTTTTTTCTCATATGGCTAATGCTTTTTTTTTTTTTTTTTTTTTTTTTGAGACAGGGTCTCACTTTGTGACCCAGGCTGGAGTGCAGTGGTATGATCATGTCTCACTACAGCCTCAACCTGCCAGGCTCAAGCGATCCTCCTGCCTTAGCCTTCTGAGTGGCTTGGACTACAGGAGCGCACTATCATACCCAACTAATTTTTTATTATCTTTAATAGAGACAACATTGTGTGTAGCAAAGACAAATCTATATCCAGAGTAAGCGTCTATTCCAGTAAGGACAAAACACTACCCCTTCCATGATGGAAGTGGTCTCATGTAGTCAACCTGTCGCCTGGTAACTGGCTGATTACTCCGGAAAGTAGTGCCATATTAGGGACTCAGCATGGTCTCCACTGCTGGCATATTAAGCACTCCAAGGTGGCTGTAGCCAGGTTGCCCTTGGACAGTGCAAGCTCATGATGCTGAGCCCCTGCATTAACTCCATCTTTCCACCATGGCCACTTTGTTCATGAGCCCATTGGGCCACAACAGGGTTGGCTGGGGAAGGGGGCTGACCCACTTCCACAGAATGCGTCATTTTATCCACTTGATGATTAAAGTCCTCCTCTGCTGAGCTCACCCTTTGGTGAGCATTTACATGGAACCCAAATATCTTCACATTTATTTTATTCATTCAAAGAGATCTATCTACATATCCCATCCCCAAATTTCCTTATTCACCAAATTTCCAGTCATCTTTCTTTCAAGTCTCTGACCATCCAGTCAAACTTGCCCACAGCCCATGAATTTCTGTAGCGTTGCACTTCAGGTCATCTTTCCTTCCAAGTAAAGTACACAACCAGGTGCACTGCTTTAAGTTTTGCTGACTGAAGACTTTTTTTTTCACTACTGTCTTTTAGGAATGTCTCAGGAATGTGCTGCAGCTGTCCACTTTCACGTGGTGACTGCATATTATGTAGAACCCTCTATAAATCAGGCCAGAGAGTCTTCTCTTCCTCTGTCAACTGATTGGAGGGAACTCCCCATGAAGCCACAGGTACAGGCTGGGAGAGAGAAGGCAGTGTAGCAGGAGTGAAGATTGTGGATATTTTAACCGCCTCTTCATGTAATATCACTGAGGTACAAGGCCCCTAAATTATTTTCAGATTTATTTCCCACCCTCTGAAACAAAAATGTCTTACCAATAAGTCTAGAGCAGCTGCTACTTCTCACACACTAGATTCAATCAGCATAATGTCATCAATGTAATGGACCAGTGTTATATCTTGTGGAAGAGGCAGACACTCAAAATCTCTGTGAAGTACGTCATGATATAGGGCTGGAAAATTGAAATGCTGCTGAGGTAGGGCAGTGAAAGTGTAGTGCTAGCCTTGCCAGCTGGAAGCAAAATGCTTCTGGTAAGCCCTATTGACAGAGATGGAGAAAGGGGCATTTTCCAGATAGTAGCTATATGCCAGGTATGAGGGGATGTGTTAATTTGCTTAAGCAACGAAACCGTATCTGGTACAGCAGCTGCAATTCATGTCACCTCATGGTTAAGCTTATGATAATCCACTGGCATTCTCTAGGACCCATCTGTCTTCTGCACAGGCCAAATAGGTGAGTTAAACAGAATTGTTGTAAGAATCACTGCCCCTGCATCCTTAATGGTGTCACTAATCTCTGCAATCCTTCCAAGAATGCAGTCTTGTTTTTAGCTTACTACTTTTCTAGGTGGAGGCAGTACTATTGGATTCTACTTGGACTTTACCGTCACAGTAGCCTCATTCCACAGGTCAGAGAAACGATGTTGGGTCTTTGTCAGCTGCTGACTATACCTATTCCAATTATGTATTCCGGAACTGGGGTTATAACCACAGGATGGGTTCAGGGACCCATTGGACCCAATGTGCGGCAGACCTCAGCTAAAATTCCATTGATCACCTGAACTTCATAAGCTCCTACTCTGACTTCTGGAGCACAATTATGTTTTAGGTCTTCTTTATTCAGAATGAATTAGGGCCAGAATCCAATAGTCCCCAAGAAGTCTGATTATTTTCTTTTCCCCGGTGCACAATTATCCTGGAAAAAGGCTATAGGTCCCTTTGGAGAGGCTTTAGAGAAAGATTACTAACAAATTTTTGGTATTGTACTGGTGTTCTT